CTGTCAGCGCGGCTGACAAGTGACAGGCAGCGGCGAGCACTGGAGAGGTCAGGAGCCACCGCAGCAGCCCCGCCGCCCCTGCACCTGCCCTGCCCTGCATGGGTCAATGCCTCGGGGTCAAGCTGGCGCAGCCAGTGCCTCCCACGGTGCAAGGGGCAGGCATCGGACGGGGACGAGCTGCTCACAGCAATACCAAGGCAGGGTGGTGGGGGGAGGACGTCAGGCACGAGGCAGAGGGAGTGAGCAGACAGGCCCCCACGGCTGTGCTTCCTGGACCCCTGCGATGGGTCCCAGCCCAAAAAGAGCTGCAGCGCAGGGCAGGGATGAAGGATGCGGTCTGCAAACACTGGTCCATGCCCAGTGCAAAGGCAGGGCTTCCTCCCAACCCCTCCATCCATCAGCCATGTAGGAAACCATGGCCGGCGGGCGTCGAGGAGAGGAGGGCAGAGGCGTAAGGATGCTGAGCCACATGCCAAGCGACGGGGAAGCTCAGGGGACTGGGGAGGGCTCTGAGCTGCAGGGGTGGGGTGGGGTGGGGTCCAAAGGCAGAGCCCAGACAGCAGAGGCTGCTCAGGAAAGGCCTGGTTGGGCAGGAAGCCTCACTTCCCTTGCAGCCCCCCCAGGCCCTGGAGGCTGTCACAACTGACAGGGAAGCACGAGCTGGGAGACCTGGGTGCTAGCCTGGTCTCGGACCCCAGCCACGGCCTGAACACACCAGAAGACCGGCTCTCCTGGACTAGTGTCGTTCTCCCAAGGCTCCCGCCCCGAGACAAGGACGGGATGCAACGTACTCAATCACCTTAATGCAGCGACGCGGCTGCGGGTTTCTTTCGAGAAAAAAAAAAAACCAGTTTAATCACCATCTGTTTCTGGGCATTGACCCAACTTTGGGCGGGAGGCTGGAGAGAAGCCGCCGGGAAAGGGGAGGAGGAAATACCTCGCTGCCTTGCGCCGCGGGTCTCCTCCGTCACTGCGGGTGGGGAGCGGGGAGCCGCGCTGGAAGCCTGCGGAGGGAAGGGAGACAATTTGTAATTATTGTGCTGCAAGGTGTTGGACAAGCATGGTGCTACCACCTCTCCAGGAATCACTGGAGGACCTTCCCTTGAATAGCAAGGTGCTGTTTTTGGGAGGACCGGCGAACCCCACCGGTGGGAGGTAATGCCTGGCAGACAGGCCGCGGCAGCCAGTCAAATCTGTTGTTAATGCTCACCTTGGATGTGATCCGATCGCTTGAGCTGCCCCTCGTGCTTCTCAAGGGGAGTCAGACAGATGCTTTCAGGAGACTTCTCCTGGGTCTGTTGCAGGATTTGCTCCCAGAGCTGGTTGGTAGTGGTCTCCTTTCGACTCCCTTCCCTCCCACCCACGGCTTCCCAAGCTCAGTCTGGCATTTCTGCACCAGCTCAGCAACCTGACATGCTGAAGCATGAGCCACGGGCCCTGGCAACGGGAAGATCAGCAGCGCACGACACGCTCCCCACAGAGCCATAAACGGTGTTTCTCAGGGCGAATGCCACTTTGGGCTAGCGGGGTGTTTAAAGGGCAGCTTGGCCCAGCCTGGGCAAGGGCAGAGGAGTTGCAGCTTATCAAGCTGGCTGATACGGCTGCATGGCTAAAG